ATGAATCTTACCGGAAAATATTGATACTAAATAGACAAATTTGCTCTCTTCCAGCTGATATTCCTTTTATGATAGCGTTAATCCTCAAAAATAGTGTGTTTCACCTTGGATATAAACATGCAAATGTATAAATAAGTCCAGATTAATGCAGTATCGAGACACCGGAAAATATATTCGTGAAAGTTGGGGGTGAACAGGTGCGTGCACTATGAGTGTATTCTGAAAAACAGATACTTGTTTAAAACGTTATGAGCTTTCGACACTAAAGAATTAGTTGTTATTCAGATAAAGTACTTTATTTAGAAGATGTTACTGACTGAAAAACACCCGAACTATAGACATAATTCCAAAAAATAAAGAAATAAAGATGAAATAAATGGTTGATATTCTTCTTCTGAGATCACGGTTTTTTTCTCGGAATTCGCGTGATTGTTCTATTTAATCTTCTTCTTTTCGATAGATTAGTTTTAGTCGATCTGGGTAATTAATTCATTATGCCTTAAAATCACTTACTCGCATAGTTGAAGAGGAATAATCAGCTCATAATTTGAGGTGAGGGTAAGGGCATCGAAGATGACAAATTAAGATTTTCCTGCTAGTCGATTAACTTGAAAACAGCAAACATAAAAGCTTTATTTCTTTATTTTATCCGTATTGTTTAAAAATAAAATCTTTTTCATTAATTTTGATAGATTCTTGAAAACTAAATATAAATAAGAACAAATCGGTGCACACAGTATCATAAAACATATATTACTGTTTTCGCAAGCTTACTGTGTTTCCTGCAGTTCAGTATTTTTCAATTTTTTCACCCAAAAATGACGTTAAAAACCCTTAAATTGGCTTTTCCGAGGTAAGACGATGAGTTTATTTCGCTTTCATGTCACAAACATTATTCAGGACTGATAGGTGAAGGAAAAGCTTTCGGGCCAACACTCGAAAAAATTCGATGTCCATCTCTATATGTACGAAGAAGAAAGAAAGATCAAAAAGATTACTTTCTTTGAAGTCGGAAGGTGAACTGAGTCGAACTATAGTGTTGAAAAGTGTGAAATCCGAACGCGGACATCCTTGAGTAAAAATCACGATTACCTCAATGAGATCTTTTCGATGTACAACGTTATCGACTATTGTTAATATATATGACTCGGAAACCACTTTTCATTAGAAACTAATGGTCAAACTTTCATATGTTGTTTCTTTCCTTTTCGCTTCACAATTGAAAACAGCTCTGATCATAATTTTAACGGCCTCCCTATTCTCTTCTTTCATTTATTTCTGTCTACTAGACGTAATGCTATTTTGTTAAAAATCTAGAATATCTGTCAAAACAACTTGAACAATACTCTGCTCAGTTTTCTTTCCAATCCAGTCATCGACTTTTGGCTACTTCCCTAAGACGCAGAAGGTGACCGCATATAAGAACAAAAATGAATTTTTCTTCGCAACTGGAGAAAAGGTAGAAGGGGAGAAACCATAGGTTGCAACAACTACGACATACTTTTCTTTTGTGTTTGTAAATATTCATCGGTAAGCACAAATCGTTGTTCATTTTTATTCTTTCGTTTTATAAGTCTCTGATTGTGCGTTTATTCGTCCTGTGTTAAAAAACAAATAAAAAATGAACTCGTCCATGAATAAAGTCACAGATTTTAGTCAAGTCCCTGTTCATTTATCGAGTAGTAGAAGTGATGGATAGTCGACAGCTCGGTATGTAGCCAATGATCTTTTAAAATGGGAATATGATATTATGTATGTAACACATAGTATTGCAATTGAGAATGAGAGTCAAATGGAATATTTAGCTGAAGCACCAGGTTATATTCGAGTATTTTCTAACGATAATAAGCAGGTACCAAAGGGTATAATTAACAATCAAATAATAATTAACAGATATCAATTAAAAGAGAACACCTATTCGATAATGAAAGAAGAAAATGTTCATCCTGTTCAATCATCCTCAGTATCGATTGAGTAGGTCAGTATTTTTTGTTCGACTTTTTGATCGATATCCACCGCCTGATTTTGATATGTTAGAAAAATTAGAATTATTTCAGCAAAGTTTAATCGTATAAACAAATAAAATATTCAACAATTTTCTCTGTACATATCAAACTTATTTGATCAAGAAACAAAATTTGAGAGCGTTCATTCAGAACGTCCGGTTTCACGTCTTCATGGGTTGTTCTCTACAGGATAGCATTTTATATTCTTGAGAAAACTTTTATGTGGTATATGTCATTAATTTACTGAGGACTTTTTTCAAAGTCTAATACGATTTGTATAAGGCTACTGTGAACGATCCCACTTTCGGTTAATGTATGCCAAGTCGTTACCTATTACAGCAACTGTAACGCTCAAAACATTACCGTTTTAAGTAACGGGTAACAAAAAATGTTACGTAGGTACCAATAATGGATGACGAGCTGCGACTTGCCACTATCCTTAGTTTACAGCACGTGCCGAGACGTAGACGAGTTCATATTTTTTTTTCTAACAGTCGTGTAGCACGGGTGTACTGATCGTCTCATGCTTCTAAAAATTTCTCCGAGATCAGATGTTTTCAACTGAACTAATTGTTTTAAAATATTTTTGATTCGACTGTTCGATACAGTTCAGAAAGGTGCTTAAACAGTACAATTTTAATCGGTTCAACTCGAAAGGTAGCCAAATGGGGACAAACAGAAAATTAAATCGAAATCAATTGAAAAAAACTATTTTCTTTACTTTCTAAACTCCCCTCTTTTTGGACTTTCCGTAGAAATGCTGTGGAATAAAACCTAAAACTCACTAAAGCTTCATATCTTCAGAACCGATTGGAAACTCGATAGAGCATTTTTTCATTTTTGTTTCAAGTTTTTAATTATTGAAGTGCACCAGTTTTCTACAAAACTCGGTTTTTCATTGGATCCCATTACGACCCACTTAAATTCCATCCAATCGAGTTAAAAATTTTATCTGAGGTACTCAAGGTCATTCCGCCGAGGTAGATTTTGGAAATTTTATTTTAGACCTTTCTTTGTCGAGTTATAGGGTTTCTAAAATTGAAAAACTTAGTTTTCGAGACGTTTTTCAGTATTTTTCCTATAATTCCACCAGGGACAGTTTTAAAAACCTTTCCAAAATCTACCTCTACACTGACTTGAGTACCTCTGGTAAAAATTTTAGTTTTTAAGGAACTGAGAAATAGAGACAATTTATTTAAACATTTTATAATTATTTATGCTCTTTCCCATGGCATAGATAATCCTCTTTCGAATGAGAGCTATATTTGGATAGTGTTTATGGTGAAGATAAAGAAACAGTATAGTACAGATAAACGAAGAGAACAGTAGAGTTATTAGTAATACGGCATTAATTTCTTGTGTGTAGATTTTATGTCCGTTTAATAAAATTTTGTCCTTAAATAAAAATTTTATTTAATCAAAGTTTTGAGAGAAAGTCTAGAAAGAAAATGAACTTTCTATATGTTATTATTTTCATTCTTGATAGGATGATGAAAAAGCATGCTATTTTTCTTAAACGATGTATATCATAAGCGTGCTAGTCACTGAGAAAAAGAAGAAAGAATTCTTAAAGGCAGTCTCCTGTTAATGAAAGTTATCTTCAACAAGGAAGGAGCAAAACAAGCGGTAGTGAAGTTCTGCATATTCAATATAGACACACTTTATTAAATCTTTAAAGTTAATTAAAGGAAATAATGAGAGTCACAGAAAAATGGAATGATTTTGAAACGAAAGTTCAACGACGAAGGAAAGAAATTCAAGTACCATAGAGAAAGAATTTTTGACAATTTTTATAAGTTTCTGATAAAATTCTTCGAAGATTCTTATATAAGATGTTATATGGAAGTGATAAGAAATTCATTGGTCCTGAAAAGATTCTTATAAAAAATTTATAGGATATTCACAAGAAAATAACAAGACATCTTGTCACTTTCTTATGAATATCTTATAAGAACCTTATCAGTTTCTTACCAATTTCCTACGAACTTCTTATAAAATTCTTATCTGATTCTGACACGAAAACTATCGTGACTTTGCAGATCCAGTCCATACTCTTCTGTTTCCTTATTCAATCTGCTGCTCTCTTCAACTATTCTTACCGTGCTTTAAAACTATTTCAATCTCTTATACTTATAGAATAGATGCATTTTGCTAGAGATCAGGCTGAAAAGGCAGAATTTATGCAAACGAACGAGATGTCGTGCCCCGCATTCTCCTGCCACACAGTGTTTTTTTTCAAACTTCTCATTCTTTTCCAATAGTCGCGATAAAGTTGGAGAAGTACATCCGGTCTACAGGCAGTGGACCAAGGGAACGAGTCTTTAGACTGTCCACCTGTAGATCGTATTATAGAAAAACAATAATTAAGAAAATTTTATTCAGGTGTGACAGCAGTAAATTGAATAAGGAAACACAAGAGTATGGGCTTGAGCTGCAAAATCGTGACAGTTTTCTTGTCAAAATCAGATAAGAATTTTATAAGAAGTTCATAGGAAATTGGTAAGAAACTAATAAGATTCTTATAAAAAGCTCGTAAGTATTTTGTATGTTTCTTGTGAGTGCCTTGTAAATCTATGCTAAGCATCGATGTCTAGGGTAGAACCGAAAGAGAACAAGACAGTTCAAAATGTCCTGCTTTTTATCTGACCGTTCTAAATGAATGTCTCCAGATTTTTGTGTAAATTTTCAAAAGAATTATTTAATATTGATTTATCTAGTCAATATGTTAACACATTTCATGAAAGAATTAGATGAATAATTAATCATGTCAAATATTTATATTCATCATTATGTGGAATAGCGATACCATCAAATTATGCTAATAAAATTCGTCTCCTATTAACTTTTTATGAAAAATATCGTTATATGATTGATGAAACTGAACGACAACATCAACTTAAGATATATCAAACATTAAAAACAAATATTACAAAAGATTGTGATATCGTCATTGTCGTTAAACTTAATGTCTAGCCTAGAATAACACATCAGAGAATGAATTATTTAAAATGTCATAAATATCATATTTTTAAAAAAATTAAAAATTCAACTGTTTGTGTTATACCTAAATGGTCAAAATTAGCTGGAGAAGATAGTGCACCATATGAATTTCGTTTATTATTTTCTGATTCTGAATCATTAGCAAAATCACGTTCAATTATTGGAAAAGAATTAAATATGGTAGGACATTGTATTTATTATTAATATATTAAACTAAACAATGATGATGATTGTATATCATCTTACAGTAGGCGCCAAATGAATTTCCCCCCTACGTATTTTTCAGAGAAAAATGACAGGATCCATTCTTTTCTCATTTTTCTACACGTAGAAAGAAAGCGCAGAATTTGCTGCATC